GTGTTAACTCAATCTGCCTCAAATTGATTCTGAAATTACTTCAAACATTAATTCTAACAGAACATCTCTGTTCTGGAGGCCAACTTAGTAGCCGGAGGAGGCGGCGAGGTGCTGCAAACAAAAGCTGACATCATCTGACACGGATATGAAATATGATTTTTTTTTCTATGAGATATACTAGGACACTTTTGGAATTTTCTTTTTTTATCCAATCTATGTGTTTTATGAAACATTGCAGGGCTCTAAAGATTCAAACGCCAGCACAGGTGGAAATAAAAATCTATACTTCCATTGATCATGTTTTTTCCAAACCAATCAAATGGTTATGTAACTAAATCTTTAAACTTAACTTTCCTTCTATTTTCGCTGTTGCAGTCGTCTTTGCTCTATTGTGCACTTTTCTTTATGCTGCTCTGCACCTGTGCAGCCAGGAGATGCCATGAGAAAACTTTTCACTGCGATGCCAACCATTATTATTCTTTAATGCAAAATGGAAAAAGTTGTGGACATCCCAGACAACATGAAGCTATTGTGAGCAAATTCAGGTTTATGATTTGCACTCGGGACGCAATCATGCAGTCACGGATACCATTGTTCAACTGCAAACAGACAGCTTGAGAGTAATGCGAGGAGACAAGAGTTTTTGGAGCATGTGGCTCTGAAGTCTGTCCCTTTAAGCCTGGTGAGATATCACACTGGGAGCAGATCCAGCAGCTACTTCAAATCCATCTTTTCTCTTTGGTTTCTAATTAGTTGTTAACAGATGACGCATCCTGGAGACAGAAGGGAGAGGGCTCTGCCACGGTGAACGTCAAAGCCTCTGGTGACAGACATCCAGGCCTCACGCCACCCATTTTCTGTGATTTTTGCCACTTGTGCTTTTTTTTTTTTTTTTCCAGGATAGCGATTTTTTTTCTTCACCTTTCACATGCTTCACGTTCGGGCTGATCTGAGTTAAACTCTGAATAAGCCCCCCCATTTCATGGCATGCAGCAAGGAGACTAGATCTGACGTGCAGGTGTGGGTTAGTATTGAGACTACAGATCTTCAGGCTAAGCTCCGGATTGGAAACGTTCCAAAGCACGGAGGAGCGAGGTGGAAGGAGAGCTCTGCGCTGCGTGGAGACACCACAGGCGTGACTGCGAGGAACAGCACGGAGTAACCTGCTGTACCGAACCATACCCCAACCTCCACTCTCCTCCCAAGAGCAGTAAAAGGAGGAAGTTTCTGTTTTTTCGAAAAGTTAAACGATCCAACTTTCTTGCCACCAGATGTTGGTGGAGTTTTCCTCCGCTGACCCGTCTCTGCTTCCACTCCAGCAGAGCTCCCAGGAGGAGCACTGCTACCTCACATGAGGTGTGCGCTCCCGGTTTAAGCTGCAGCAGTATGCGAATTTGCACCCCCATATGAGACTAAAGACATGTTCTCACACCCCTGGGCACAGGCAGGTGAACTCGGCATGCCATATGCTTTAAAGGGGGGCTTATTAGGCTTTGAGCAGAAAACACATTATCCACAATGGACCAAGGCCACTGAGGGAGGATTTTCATTATGAAAGCTTTTAATTCCTCCGGTGTGAGCAGGAGGGGTGGAGTGGAAATGTGAGCAAAAATATTTCAGGAGAAGAGTTAACTGCCTGGCTCATACAGGGCATTGGCGATATCTTAAAGGCCCTCTCTTCTCCTCAAGCGTAATCATATGAAATGTGAATTGTTGTTTTTTTGTTTTTGTTTTTTGTCTGACCAAATGTTAAGCTTAACTGGACACACCAAATTGCCCCTAGGAGTGAATGTGTGTGTGTGGTTGTTTGTCTCTGTGTGGCCCTGTGATGGACTGGCGACCTATCCAGGGTGAATCCGCCTCTCGCCAACTGTCAGCTGCGATAGGCTCCAGCCCCCCCACAAACCCGTTGTGAATGAGTGTCATAGAAGATGGATGGAAGGATGGATGGATGGATAAGAAAAAGCACCTGATCTCACAAGCGTCTGAATTGTTCCATCAGAAACCAGACCTGGTTTTGCCTTTTATGCACAAACTCCAAACATATTACATTTGCAATGAGCAATTATACAAGCGAAACATCAACATCATCCATCTCAACAGAAGCTTGTTGCCATTTTCATCATCCAAATATTTTATTTATGGTTTTTATCATGCTTATGATTGTCATTTCTCAACTAGGTGAAACATGACCATCACCACCCCTGTCAAGCCTTGGTATGACCCTGTGTTGAAACAACCGGGTAATGTGGAGGTGAAAACATCAGGTGAGTGTACACTGACCCCTAGAGGCAAACAGGTGTAACTGCGCTCAGACTGAAGTCAGAATAGCAGAGAATAGTGTCCTATTTTTGAAGTACTTTAAGTAATGAATTGCTGATTTGAAAATGTTTACCTGACATTGCTTGCATCCGAATTAAGTGTAACCAAGGACACATTACGCTGAGAGGCACATCTCCCCACTTGTCTTTAACACCTGTATAACTGAAGAGCTGCAACAGCAAATTAAATCCCCCCCACACATGATCTGTAAGCTCATGTAAGCTACTCTGCTTTGCATTCCTGGGGAAAACTCAGTCTCCACTTACCAACAATTACAACACATTTTCAACAAGATACAAGGACGTCGGCCTGAATATTGCACTGGAGGTTAAAAGCATGTGAAAAAAGGAAACATCACAGTATCAGAAGGCAGAAGAACACTGTCATTTGTTCTCAACTTGAGATGTTGGACAACAACTCATGACCTCCACAGTTTGCACAGTTGTAGCTATACTCTTCTCATAAGCAACAAAGAAGAAAAGATCAGACCTGGGAGATTTTCCTCTAAAGTGATAATTATCCCTCGCCTCTTCCTCGTGAGCTTCTCACCCTCTGCCACTCTTGTTGCCTAGTAACCAGCCAGGGTAGAAACACTGTAAGGACCCCGCTCTCCATGTCGGTACAGTGGTGGCAGATCATCAACGTCTCGCTGTTTTTCAAGCCTCATGATAAACAGAAGCTAGCAGGGGCTGCTGAGGGACATCTGGACCTTTTCGGGCAAGCTGTTTCATAGTTGGCACGTTTATGCGAGACTTGTCCTCCAGTAGCAGGGTGTAAACAGAAAAGGGAGGGTGATGCAACAAAGGTGAGGCTGCCGTGCTCACTGTGAGAGGGGTGCCAGGGGGTGGGAAAGGGACAGAGCTGGAGCCTCCCGCTTTAACCTGACTACTTGTAATTCCTGGTGTTGGGTAAGGCTACAGCATGTGGGAGATGTGTTTAAGGACTACCACAATATTATTGTAACTGTATTTTTCCGAAAACTACTTAATGTTTATTTTTGGATTTACTTGATTTTTGTTTTTAAAGGCATGCATACGAGAATCATCATGGACTGAACATTTTGTTTTAAAACAGTTTTTAGTTTGGAATGTGCTTACATATACAACCCATTTGTAGATTCTTATTCCAAATGAATAAACAGCTACGTCTGAGCAGCTCCATTGTTCAACAGTTTATTAGTTAAATAACTAATCAGTCATGTGCAAAGGTTAAATGGATAACTTAGTCCATATTTAGAAACTGTGCGTGAAAACGGGGGACAATGTATGATGCCGTGGCTTTTAAAATTTTCAATAGCAATAACTCGATATAACCATTTTTTAATCTTGATTAATATTTTTCATGGTTGAATCAGTGACAATAAGGTGTTCAGGCCCTCTGTGTGCAAACTAAATTCAGACCATCAGCCATCTGCCACCCTCTTTGGCAGCTGATATGATGCTGACATACCCTGAATGGTTGTTGCAAAGTGGTGTGGTAGTTAGCACCAGCACTTCACGGCCATAGGGCATAATTCCCCAAGGAATTGAGGATTTAGAAAATGCATGATTACATTGGATGGATGTCCGGTAAAACCTTAATATAGAAAGAGATGGTTCTCCCTTTCATTCTCAAGCCAGAAAGAAAAATGGGCAAACCACAAGATGGTGCTAGTGCTTCTAAAGCGTACTGACAATCAGGATTATTCAGAGAATGTGTTGGATTGTTTCATTATCAGTATATCAATAGACTGAGACGAATGTGTCAATCATCTCATTGAGAGGAGCTGTGCACAGTATAGATGGCTGCTGTTTTAGCCGACAAATGTCAATGCATTATGTGGACAGTTGCATACCATCTATACAGCAGTTTAAAAATACCAGAATAATTTCTTATTTACAAACCAGACATTTAGATTTAGAATGTCTATAAAAATTATTTAATGCTATAATTAACTCAATGAATACAATTCAAGTTGGCTCCTAGGTATTATCTGTACACAGCTAGAATAAAAAAAATCAGTTTCAGTACTACAGAAAGTATTCAAAGTATCCAATCCTGCGGGCATCAAATTTTATAATTCATTTTGAATACTTGCAGATAGCAGACCAATAGTCTACACTGAATATTTGTCATTTCATTTTATTTGACTATTGGAATTTCTTTTCCTTTTTCTTAATTTTCATGTGTATGACACAAGTTTTATAGTTGTATCTAATGTGTGTATGTATATTGTTCGCAACTATTAATAAGTTTTTATTTTTAAAGGTTGAAAGGTGAAACGTTTTTCAGACGGTTTGAGAATTTTGACAAATTATCACCACTGTATTTTTTTTCGGTATACAGTATTCAAAAGTAAATTAAAGTACACCATCCACAAGGTGGCAGTACTCACAAAAAGAGTTGTAATTTTAATAATCTCAATTTTGATATTGTCAACGGATACCTTCAGTCATAACAACATAGATGTGAACGTCCATTTTGTGACTCAAATTATCTGTTATTGAATAAATAATTTCACTCAGGCTCGAGCTTTTTAGTTTTCACGTTGTCATTTTTTTCCCCAGTTTTTTATCTTCCCTTTTATTTTATTTTTTTCACTAACATTGTAGTTATTGGCACATTAACCACTTGTCGATAACTGAATACGTTGATGTAAAAAAAAAAAAGGATCCCGGTGTTTGAAACAGTTCTCCAAGCAGGCGCATTTGTATGACGCCATGAGTTCACAGTTCAACCGTCAGGCTCTCAAAATGGCGGCTGATCCAACACGGGAGTGGAGCGATGAGCAGCTCAAAAGTGACGATTTACCAAAAAAAGACATAATAAAATTCATCCAGGACAATGCTGCCCACTCGGTATGATTATGGCTTTAGTGCCTTGTGATTTAACTTGGAGTATCAGTAGGTTATTGTAAAGGAAAAAATACTTTGAACTGCAGTATGTTGTGTGATTAGCAGAGGGGAGCCACATTTTTGGGGCGTTAGCATCAAACAAATCAGAACGTACAGCAGGATATACGTTCTTACCTGTAAAGAATGGCAATGCATCGGTTCAGAATTCCACCCACATTGCAGTTGAAAGAACTAATGTATTATGCAGAGGAAAGATGCCTGATATTAATTGAACATGATCATTTACAGAAGGTCTGCTTTCCCCTTTCCTTTTTTAAGTTCCTCAATGAACACAAGCTGCTGGGAAACATAAAGAACGTGGCCAAAACGGCGAAGAAAGATCAGCTGATTATTGCTTACAATCAGCTCTTCGAAAGCAAAGTAAGTGATGCTAGTATAATATATTATTATTGAACATGTTTCAAGTTGATTTAAACTGAGGTAACTTGTGTCTTGCAGCGGTTCAAAGGCACAGAAGTGGAGGAGGTGACCCAGCAGGTCAAAGCTGTGAAAATTGATGAAAAGCCCAAAGAAGTCAAGGCAGAAGTTGTGGACGAGGTGTTTATCTGATGTGTTCAAGTCTAAACGTGCAAGGTCTGTTTTCCATGTAACATGTCTTCCAATCGTCTCAGGGTCCTCCGAGGTACACCAAATCGGTGCTGAAGAAAGGCGACAAGGAAAACTTCCCTAAGAAGGGCGACACCGTGAGCTGCTGGTACACTGGAACTCTAGAGGACGGGACTGTGTTTGACACAAATATTCCCGCAGGTTAGACCCAGGCTTTCAGTTCATCCTCACTATTTACGAAATCGGTGTCCTGCATGCAGTTTGTCATCAGCTCAAGCCCACCCTGTTCCCTTTGCAGCCGCAAGAAAGAAGAAACAGACCAAACCCCTGAGCTTCAAAGTGGGCTTAGGGAGGGTCATCAGAGGAGTAAGTTGTCACGGTGTGTCTTTCCTGTGTGTGCGTTTTTATCACATCAGTTCTACAGTGTGACTGTTTTGAACTCTTGTCACCGCTACAGTGGGATGAGGGACTTTTGACCATGAGCAAGGGTGAAACGGCACGGCTGGAGATTGAGCCAGAATGGGCCTATGGTAAAAAAGGCCTCCCCGACTCCAAGTATCCTTTTCTTTTGTGTGTTGCAGTTTACATGATTCTAACTAAAGGGTTTTTTGTAATCTGAATTAGGTTCAATTCAGTGTAAGGGATATATATGAATGTGAGTGTGGGTGGTTGTTTGTCCTTGTATGTATTGTGTGGCCCTGCCATGGACTGAAGGACTGTCCAGGGTGTACCCCGCCTCTCGCCCATTGACCACTGGGTAACGATAATGGATGGATGGTATTAAAGGGTTAGGATGGAATCTAACAGGGCTTCAAATCCAAGTCGGTATTGCTTCAGTCTGTTAGCTTATTCTGCTGTAGTTTGCTGTTTTCCTTCATTCTACGTCCTCCAGAGTTCCACCCAACGCCAAGCTGATTTTTGAAGTTGAACTGGTGGCTGTGGATTAAATTTGGCACACATATGTACTACACTTTGAGCATAGTGACCAATTTTAGGACCTCGTTAAGTTAAACCTGGCTCTCGGACTGCACTATACCCAACTCCCATTATGCCTCCTTTGCCTTCATTTGTTCTCCTTTTCTCATTAGCAGGCCAATTTTTTATTTTCCCCAACGTTAAGTTGTGACCCAAATTGGATGGCTTGTCAATGTACATATGACAGATCGTGGATGTTGTTCTGTCCTTTTGCATGTAAATGATAAATAAACTCATTTGAATTGGCTCAAAACGAGCTATTGTCACTTTTTCCTTGCTTAACCTGAGATTAGTTCTCTTACAAAGAATAAAATGTTAGATATAGCACAGATAAAGAAATCCAGTGGTCATTTTAAATACGGTTGTCTGTTTTAGTAAAAAACCTATTAACTACTTGGTGCAATCAGCCAGTTTTCAAAAAGTCCAGACTTGCATTGACTGACATGACAATAAATCCAAGTCAATTGATCTTTATTCTGTACAGGACAACATTTAACTTGGCAAAAAAAAAAAAAAAAAAGCCGACAGGCGGTGCTGCTGATCTTTGTAGGTACTGACGCACTTAAGAGTTGGCGTTGGGTCCCTTCTTCTTTCCGAAGGTGGGCACAACATTGACAAAGCGCCTGTTGTACTGAATGCGACGCTTGGCGCGGCCAGTCTTCTTCTTCTTCTTCTCTTGCTTGTCCACCTGGATATAAGAGGGAAAAGAGTATTATCAATTCATTCTCAGCCATAATGTGCATTGTTATTATTCAAAGCTCCACTCTAATGCTTAGAATTATGCTGCCCTTTATAGATGCTTTTTCATTATGCCAGTAGAGGAAAAGTGGACGTGTTAGAATTCTAGAGAGGTTCAAAAGGTCAGAAAACACTAAGAATCTTACCTTGGGGGTCTGTCCTCTCACTTTGCCGGCACGGGCCAGGGAGCCATGCACCTTACCTGTTGAAAGACAGGGAAAAATAAACAAATTAGGGTTTTAAAGGCCTTAAAGTAATGCTAGATTGTACTGATCCTTTTACCAACTAAGAATAACAAATGTATCTGACACTGACCTCCCAGCAACCTGCCAGCTACTTCGAGGGTGCAGTGCTCTGACACACCACAAGATGCCAAGGAGGAATCATCCTCCAGTGGGCACCCAGCAAGCAGCAGCACCTGATCCTCGACCAGGAGTCCTTCTAGAGCCTGGACATGGGCCTGAAAAACAACGGAAATATGGCATATCCAACCCCTCAACACAACCTGGGTAAGTCATTCTACGTCCAAGTCATACAGCCATTTATCCATGCAATTCCTTTTTAAATTTACCTTGATCTGGCCAACAGTCTCCTGTCCGGTCACCTCAAGGGTGTGAGTGTTCTGGGCACGCAAAAAGAGCTGCATCTTGACGCTGAAAGAAAAAAGTTTACCAACAGGCCGTTATTTCTCTTGGTGATTCATTCACGTCCCACAAAAAAAAACGTTAAAGTCATAATGAAGCTCCTTTTTCAAATGAGACAAATTACTTCCAAACATCCGTTATTGCTTCTACACAGTCTGTGATTACTGACAAGTGTGTTTAACCTATGCAACATCAGCTATGACAAGCCAAGATGTCTGCCGTGACGAGCTGTTGCGGAAATCTGCTGTGTAGCATCGCGTCTACCGACAGTTACAAACTAGCTAGAAAACTAATAATGGTTAACTACGTCTTGGATAATTAAACAAATAGGATAGCGAACTTTTTTAAAACATTCAACCGAGTTAACCAAAGGAGGATAGTTTACAGAAACACGTTAAGAAGCCAATCAGACCTGCCGCTCTTTAGCCTCTCGCAAACTCTGCTAGCATAACTAGCCGCATGGGACACGCGTTTTAAGAGTAACCGCAAAAAAAACATATAAAATACTCATTAAAAGCACACAGTGACGCTTAATATGCTATCTTGTGGTATGATAACTATTTTGGCTTATTAAAACATACTCTGAGTGCTGCTAGTTAAGGATTTTTTTGCGAATAAGGGACGGGTCTCACCTCGTTCGATGCTAGTCGTTCCACGCTAGGCATAAAAAGGACTATTTGAGGGGCAACACTGCGCATGTGCGCATTTACGTACCCTTCATCAGGATCAGTAATCACGCCCACCACATTGAATGTAATAATTCTGACGCAGTTTCTTTGAATAGACAGCTCCAATTTATTTTTTACACGTCCAATTCTATGTAACTGAACATATAAACAACCTGTAATAAAATAAAAACGAGTAAATGAAAATAAAATAAATGTAGTAATTTAATAATGGAACGAAAAAAAGCGCATTATTTAATCTTTCAGAAGTTGTTTTTTTGGATGAAATTCATAAATGAAAGACTAATTATTGTTCTGATACCATCTCTATTTCACATCATCTTAAACATTAGTTCCCCTAATTTCCACGCTGAACAAAAATCTAGACTATTTGCTATCTTTGAATGAGCAGTTTGTCAATTTACATATACTTTCTTGCAATTCTGCCCTGAACGCCTCATTTTACAACCACCTTCCATTACTTTATGGCCGTGTTCTACAACACCTTTTCACAACCTTCCCGTTTTTGATTCGCACTTGCATCATCATGGACACACAGCTAGTAACTCTTTACAGTACACCCTTTTGAAACTTTCAACGGGGGCATATCTGTAATTGAATCAGCCATTTTAGTTAGACCATTTTTAATGCATCAATTCCCTTTAGAAAGTTTCTAAAGAAGCATTCCCCTAAAGGAAAAAAAAAAGGATACCCTTTATTAAATAAATGCTCCCATTTATATACAACTTGTGCTGCATTTCCATACAACCATTTCCATGAACCACCTTACTTACCAGCTCACAAAATGTGCCATCCATCAAAAACTAATCTTTAGATTTTGTGCAATATGTGAACAAACCAATCCGCATTTTGAAAACATTGACATAAAAGAAATCCAGGGATATCAATTTCTTTATTATGAAATAAAGTTGAAATAAAAAAGAAACAAGGAACTCGTAATTGCTCTTCGTGGAATCAAGCATGAAATATTAAAAATCTTAATTTTGGGAACAAGACACTCTGTTCAAACATTAATGAATGTCTCCTTTACAAGTTTAAATCTTAAACAAAGAAAGAGACCAACCTAAGTCATCTGATCTAAAAGTGAAGCTTACACCGGAAAATAAATCTGCCTTCACAAATAACCAAATAACATGCATTTATAAACCCCCAAAAAGTGATGCTGACAAATGGAAAATTGCTTTATTTCTTTTAAAGAGGGGGGGGGGATATTTTTTTTTAAAAAGAGGAAAGACATTTTTCACACTACTGTCATGGAGGGTAAAATATGTATGAACTGTGACCCAGGAGGAAGTGGAGGGGGGCGGGCAATCTGAAATCTCCATGACATCCAGATAATTTGTTCCAAAATTTAAGAAACCTGTAAGAGATCTCCATCTTCAGAATGTCCATCATGTAGGAGGAGGAGGGTAGTACTGGTTATACTGGGCATACTGGTTGTACTGCCCCCAAGAATTCTGTCCCCAACCACCATATTGTTGCTAAAAAAAACAAAACAAATTTGAGTTAAGACGATGAGGATAATTCCAACAAGGTTGACTAAAATGTGACAGTTTCCAGACACCCACCTGATACCAGTTGTAGTTATAAGCAGAGTTGTTTGCCGACATGTCCGTCATAGCGACTGCTGCTGCAGTTCCATCGTCCACACGCTGCCTTTTGGCATCTGGCTCCTGAGAGCTACAGAAAGAGGTTCAGATGAGTGGAATTCCCACGTGAGACTACCCAGGGTAAAGCGCGACGACGCGCTGATGTGCGACCCGAGTCCTGCTCCATCACATACCTGTCGTACCCGTTCTCAGCCTTCCTCTTTGAAGACTCCACTTCTTTCTGTAGCCTCTGCTGTTCCTCATATGCAGCCACAAGCCTGACAAAGGGAAAACAGTTCATTCTTCACACACACCCAGCACAAAAGAAGAGGAAAATAAAAGTTAATCCAAAATCTGAAGAAACTCACAGATGGATGTTGCTGCCAAAATCTTCCAGGAATTCCACCTTGCGTTGGGAAAACAGCACGCGGGACTCCAGGTGCATGGGACTGCTCAGGGCACGGTCAAAGCATGCCAGGATCTCTGCTTCGTTCTGCATAAGGTCGCCACCGTATTCCAGCTCCAGCAGGTTGAGATACAGTTTTGAACTCGTCTTTAGGAGGAAACACAAAAAGATTCAACTGAGAACTGTGTGACAAGACAAACGGCCTCTGTGACGATGGCTCAAATTTTTCCCTCATCTACAAAAAGAGCCTTTCTTTATTTAGATTAAGGGAATACAAATGCATATATAGAAACTTTTTTAAAGATCAAAACAGTGTCAGGGTTTCACCTTGACGCAGACCAATCCTCACCGGGTCTTTCTCGATGGCATCCTGCAGCACCTTCTTGGCCTTGCTCAGGTTTTTCTGCACCTTCATCAGCAGCCTGGCCAGCTTCACAGCGTAAAACGATGAGTCTGTGGGGCTTGCCGCCGTCTCCATTGCTTCCCTCAACAGCGCCTCTGCAACCTCCACGTTGCCGTGGCGACGCTCCAGGCTGACCCTTCGAAGACGCACCATTGCCAGACCCGGTATCAATGCATCCAGGGACGTCAGGATTCTACGAGCCTCTTCCACGTTGCCTGGGGAGAGAACAGAGTGAAACCTTTAGTGTGGCTCAACGGATAATAATTAACTACAACTCACTTTGAAACTAAAGACAATCTGGTTGGGAAGTGTCGCACCTTGCTGCTCTTCAAAGGCTGCCCACAGCAAGTGGATGGCTGGTTTCCTGGGCAGGTGGATGGTGCATGCTTTCTTGTAGACATGTCTGACGCCGTCAGTGCTGAAGCCCTCTAGATATTTTGCATACTTTAGAGTGAAAAAGAGAAAGCAAGTTGGAAGGAATGCAGGAGAGGACAGGGAAAGAAAAAAGGACAGAAAAGAGGTGAAAAGAGAAAGGCAAAAAAAAGAGACAGAATATTTAAACCTAAATTTTCAGTCGAAACAGTGAATTTCTTCATTGACAAGATCGTTTTTAGAAATTTTCTGTGTAAACCCATCAGCACCTTCATGGAACCAATTAGATAAGTTTCTGTAAGGTAGTGGGGAGACGAAGAAGATGCAACGTAGTAGTTGGCAAATGCTGCAGTCAAATCTTGTGTGGCAAGCTGGCCATCCCCTAATACAACAGATACAGTCACATATCAACGTTACACGCAAAGAGTGCAGGTCGATTTACTGTGTCGATGTGATATCATCGTTGGCGGGGGAAGTGCAGGGAAGTAGCAGGAGTGGCTGAGAGGCTTGTGCTCACACTACCTTGATCCAGAACTCCTCGTAGAGAGCGCAAGCGATGAGGCATCGTTCAAAGAGGACCACCACGCGCTCCGGGGTGCCGTTCTCAATCTCGAATTCCAGGTACTCCTTCCAGTTGTTCAGCTGCGTCTTCTCCAAGGCTTTGACGTGGAAGTACGGTCGCTTAATCTGAACAGAAACAAATTAGTTTGTGTCAAAATAAATAGAACATACCTTCTAAACTCAGCACCACTGAGGGGGAAGACAGGGAAAAAAAGACTTACTCCTTCTTCAAAGGCCCAGCGCTTGCTGACTTCATGTTCATTGTGGTTGAACACTTCTTGCCGCACCTCGATCACTTTGTGTCGCATGTTCTCGATCTCTGTCACTCTCTACATGAAAACAAAGAATTTCAGCTTCTTTGCAATGCGTCACATCATTCTACGCTTTGAGGGGCAAAGCTTCGACCAGGGATTAAAATCACCATGAGAATGCCAGAGAAAAGAAGCCTGTGGAGAGAGATGTGTGTGCGCCCTGCACATCAGCCCGCAGATGTTCTGTTGAAGAAAAACCCCATTAGCCTCAGAGCCAACCTGAAAGCCCCAGGTTTTCTTTTGCCTGGTTGTTGACAGGAGAGGGGAAACAAAAAAAACATTGTTTTCCATTTCACCCTGGACAACTGCAAACCTGCAAACAATCACTTAGTCAACCCGCCTCACAGACTCAGTTTTATACCTTAGCAGGATCTGCGAGGTCCTCTGTACCAGGTGGAAGGTCCTCCTGAGGAACAGTGGACTCACCATCTTCACCAATCACTGCCGACAGACTGGCTTTGGAAAGCTCGTGTCTGAGTGTAACAAATTCCCCTTCTGACAGGAAGTACTTAGGGTGGTTGCTCTGGACATGATCTTTAAACCTGCAGTGATTTAAAACAAAATTAACTGTCTCTGACTAGTTAACCTCTGACTATTTAAGATCCAGCAAAAAAATAAACAAAATAAATCCAAATGTATTAGAAGTCTCCATACCTCTGAAAGTGCTGGGAGTAAAGCTGAGTTGGGATACCCAAGATACGATCATAGAGGGTGGTTACGTTGGACAGCTTCTGTTGTTCTGTCTCCCAGTTTATGAAGGACTCCCAGAGGCGGTCTGAGCGGAAGTCTGTGCCTGCTGCCAGCACAGAATGTTCATAGGAGCTAATAGAAAAAGAAAGGAAATCTTAAGATCACTTGCTGTCTAACTATATTGTTCAGAAGTAACAGCTGTTAGTTCTACACTATAAAGTAATGTGGTCATGAACATTTGACTCACGCTCTAATGTGTCCTTCAGTCGCTGGGTCAGTTAGATCAGAGTTCTCTTTAATAAAGGTGAGGTAGTGAAGCCAGAGGTCCACACTGAGAGGAATGGCCTGCAAGCCCCTTCTGTACACCTGAGGAAAGGCCAAAGTAAAGTTTGTCAGTGGCTGAAATTGTTTTATAAAAGGTTTTTAAAGCAACTTTTTAACCCTCCTATTAATATCAGTCACTATTCTTGATAGTTATAAGACTCCAGAATATATCAGCTTGGCCAGGCAGGTCATCAGCAAACTGACTGTGTGATTGCAAAATACTGAAACATTTACCTCCTCTGCAACCTGTATGTTGCCATTCTTTTTCTCAAGATCAGCATATTTCTTCCAGTAGCCATAGCAGTAGGGATAACGCAGGAAGAAGACGTCGAAAGACTTTCTCGCAGGAATGAGGAGATTCTACAAGGGCACAAGAATATATTCATTTATCATCACTTTATCATAACTCAATGACTCAAGCAGGTTTTTTTATGATAAAATATAACTTTTACTTATTCAACCTCACAGACATACAACTGGATCATTGGTCAACCATCTTACTTCTTGCTCCACATACTGCAGCAGGGTCACCCAGGCATTGAAGTCTTCTGGGTTGTCCTCACATACTTTGAAGAGTTTGTCAAACTCTGATGGTAGTTCAGGCTCCACAGAGACAGCAATCTCTGGTGCCGCTTCCTTGGAAGGCTCCTCAAGCTCCATGCCATCCTCAGCCGCCTGTGGTGGATCAGTCCCTTCTAGAGAGGTGGGATGAAGTATATTAGTATTCTGACCAAAATTATTATAAATGCATGGCTGAAGAGTAAATAAGAGCTTTTACCTTGACTTTCATCCTGCGCAGGTTGCGGTGCTACTTGTTCTGCCTCTTCTGTGGGTGGTGGTGGAGGTGGGGGTGGCGCTGGCTGCTCGTCTTGGAAGAGCTGAGCACTGGCAAGCTGAAATTGTTCCACAGCTTTCTCAACAGACCCTAGCTCCGCAGAGTTCATTTTCTGGTTTTCCGGCTTTTCTTGGTTAGGAGCATCCTGAGAAGCAGAGAGTTGTTCTGGAGGAACTTGGTCATGCGGCCACTCAGCTCCTTGGCCTAGAACAGGTAGATCAGGAATAAAGGCATCCCCATTGCTTTCCATGGCAGGGGACTCAGTGTCCAGCATTCCAGTAAGAGCGCCCTCTGAGTTGATTGCCTGTTTTGAATAGGACAGTAAATGAATCAACAACTGCTTGCAGAAAAAAAATCTCAATTTAATTTTAATAAGAAAAACAATGCAACACCTCACAATACAGGACACTGTTCAATCAGACATACTGCATACATTATTACGTTTGGCATTCGCAAAATCTTACAAGCGACAGCTCGAACAAGCAGACACTTCCTTGTTTTAGCATTAGCTCCGCTGCCATTTTGAGCTGAAAGCTTAGCCGAGCAACTATAAATACTTAAACCGCGTCATCGTCTATTGATGCATCATCTCTTGACTTCAATAGGTAAACAAGTATAAAGTTAACTTTGAGATCCTTCACAATATTAGTCCTTCAACGTTATGCCATGTTACATCCGGGTAGATGATGCATAATCAAAGTTCGATCTTAAGTTAGGCCTCAATGCCCGTCTATTTCACGTGAAGCTTTGCGGCGCTCGTGCAGAACTCGCTTGTTCCAAATATCCCCTGGTTTGTGAGTAAGCTTTATCCATTTAGTTGTGTGTTTATTATCCCTCCTAACCAGTTCAATGTACTCTGATTATACAGTTTACCTAACTTTGACTTGTACTTATAGGTCCAACGTGACCACAACGTGCCATGCCTTCATTTCCAGTTAATAGACGGCGCCATTCTCAAAACTAGCAAGGTGGCTAACGTATGCAATTCCGCCTCTAGAGTGGCTGGCTTTAGTTGAAGGTAAAACAGCTGTAATTGTAACGAGATAGCAAAATATCTTTCAATAAAGACATGCTTCAATAACTCACCGGTGTGTTTCACGTGGCTGGCGTGAAATTTGTATGCGTAAGTATGCCCTTCGAAGCACGGTCACAAACCTACAACAGTCAAGCGCGCCTCATCCACCATTCTTATCAACTTAGGGACATGATATGCGCATGCCCAGTCATAACACCATGGATACGGAGTGAGCGGGCTTACCGAGGACAAGCCCAGGGGCTCCCAACGCTCACTGTTAAGTTCAAATAGAAATATTAATTTAAAGAGGACTCCAAGAATGGTTACAAATCCATGTTACTAGTCCAAACGTGATGGATAAAATGTTCAAGAAAAAATATTCCTATGACCCACAAAAATATACAGAGGAAAAGGGCTACAAAACAAAATGATCAAATAATTAAGAGAACACAGGGGAAACAAAAAAAACTGGGCAAATGGATAGAAAAAAAACAACGGTGGTTCATGTTTGGTTATTCTGTTTTTACAGAATGATACTCATATGCTCATAGAGGTGCTGGTGCAATTTAAAGCAATGTTGCCATATGGCCATATAAACCAACTCCTTGTATTGTATTAAAAACATTTCTGAAAAATGATTGCCTCGTTTCTCAGACTGTATTACACTGAATAGGTTTTTACTGAAATTAAGTCTCTTAAAAAGGAATTCTGCTGTACGATTGGTGTGGCAAATCGAACACCTGCATTCAAAATGACTTTATGGGAACTAATGTAGACTTTTTGCATATACAGTTCATTAAAGCCATCATTTTTAGATCTTCTCAGACATAGTTTTATTTAGAAATTATAATTTAAGGTGTGTATCATACATACAATCTTAGATAGCAGGTGTTGTGTTTGAAGGTAGCTTTTTATAATGAAACACAGTTTCTTCCCCCCGCCCTTCCCATTCAACCTCCACGTCACACACAAATCATACGGAAACTGTTTGAATGAATGATCAGGCATCTCGGGGGGAAATGGCGGTAAAAAAAAAAAAAACTTTGAGATCACCGCATATATGAAACAATTATGCTTGATTCATTTATTCAGCATAACGTGTTGTACCAGTCATAACGTTAAACCCCACCACTTTCATAATGAATGCTCAAATGGCGTCAACGGCTGCTTAAGGGCCGGTCTGCAGTTCGGATATTTTCTGCGCGCATGCCAAATGGCGTATGTTGCCTTTAGAGGTAGTCGGAAATATTAGACTCAAATTGGTTTGGTTCCTTTATCCCCAATAGTCTGTAAACATTTACAGCGTCAGTTGTAATAGCACAGCCACGAATAAAGGCGGTGGTTTATTTAAAAAATATTCTTATTTGTCTATGGGAATTTTGAAATGCTAATTACAAAAACTAATCATTTGTGTCTCTTTGGGATACTCAGAAGCCGTGATGTGTGATTGGGTTTCAAATGCGGTGGCCTGGCCGGTCAGGAGGTTCGCACGTGTTCACGGTCTGACGAATGTTCTGACGCGGTCCTCAGATGTCGGAGCTGTGAGGGAGAGCCTGAACGCATCGGCAGCCTGTGTGAGCGGCGTAGAGGAAGTGGCGGCTGATCTGGGTCCGCACCTTTTCCGGTAACACAGCACCGCCACTGCTGTGACTGAAGGGCTGGAGACAGAGAGGGAGTCACAGACCGAGAGCGGCAAGAGCGGGGAGAAACGGCCCGGGGACTGGGGGAGGATTGCCGCAGACGCAGGTATTTATTCGATGTCCCATGTTTAGCTCTTTGTGCCTAGCTTTTTTTTTTTTTTTTTTTAGTAACCGTGAGAGTATTTTTTGGATCCAAAGTTGTCCTCTGTACTAACACCCCTCCCTTCTCTGGACCGCTCCTGTGTCACAGGGGGAAGAGAAGAAAGTCGGATGAATCAATGACCTTTCGAACGATCCTCTTTTGGATGCCCCGCAAAAGAAACGGACCGGAAAGAGTGTAAAGATAAAAGAAGAAGAAATCGTACGCTTTCGAAGAAATCGACGTGCTTTCAGATCCATCGACTGGAATAAGAAAGGCCAAGTGTGGACAGCCGGCAGCCAAGGAGGAAGTGGGAACCCCGGGCTTGGACTGGGCCTGATTTCATATTCTCCGCGTTTTGGGTTAACACAAGTAAATATTTCAAAAGTCTGCTTCAATCGGCTCAGCTGAGCACAAGAGGAGTTCCTAGCTAGAAAAAAAAAACGTAGATTTTTTTTTTTTTTTTAGTAAGTCAGAACTTCAAGGCGAGTTTGAAACCAAGGGATGTCATTTTTTTCCTCTCCCATCGTAGCGTAGCGAATAGTGAAACAATACCTCCACCCAATCCTGCCAGGACTCCTCATTTAGTGCTAGCACACCGGCTCAGGTCAGTTCAGATCGCCACTATCCGCTCGATTGTGGGCTACTGCACAGTCTTTTTTTGAATAGTGACACTCGTGTCAGCCCATCGCTGCCATCACGTGGATGTTTTTCCCCTCTCCCTCCCTTCTGTAGCTACACACTGAAACTGTAACCTCTCGGTTGTAGTAAAAGTAGTAAGAAAAAAACAACCGTTTTCCTCTCAAGAGAGAAGTGCAGCTCTTTCCAATCTAACAAAGTATTTATGAACAGCAAACAAGATGGGGAAAATGCTTTCAAAGATCTTTGGCAACAAAGAGATGAGAATATTGATGCTTGGACTTGATGCGGCTGGGAAAACGACCATCCTGTACAAGCTGAAGCTGGGACAGTCTGTCACTACCATCCCCACGGTGGGCTTCAACGTGGAGACCGTCACCTATAAGAATGTGAAGTTCAACGTGTGGGACGTGGGCGGACAAGACAAGATCAGACCGCTCTGGAGACATTACTACACGGGCACCCAGGGCCTGATTTTCGTGGTGGACTGTGCCGACAGGGACAGGATCGACGAGGCCAGGCAGGAGCTCCACCGGATCATCAACGACCGGGAGATGAGGGACGCCATCATCTTGATTTTCGCCAACAAACAGGACCTCACAGACGCCATGAAGCCCCACGAGATCCAGGAGAAGCTGGGCCTGACCCGGATCAGAGATAGGAATTGGTACGTTCAGCCCTCGTGTGCAACAACTGGGGATGGACTATACGAGGGCCTCACCTGGCTTACCTCAAATTACAAGTCTTAATGCTCGCCCACTCACCAGCCTGGACACTTGGAGGCGAAAGAAAGTAGCTGAGAAAAACCAATCAAATTTAAAAAGAAAAAAAGCAATTTGAAGCAATTAATAGCACGACCTCTCTGCTGAACATGTATCAAAAGAGAGTAGCAATTCCTTTTTTTGGTTTATTTTTCCTTTTTGGTAACAATGACTTCACTTTGTCTTCATTTAAGCTGAAGCCATTTTTTTTGTTATGTTTTTCCTGTAGATCTCTTTGATTCTCGCTCTGTGTAATCAGTGCCGTTAAATTGTACAATAAGCTTACTTTTAAGCTCTTGCTGCAAATGATTTTGTTTCCTCATTGTAACATTTCTTATAAGGGGGACTTTGGGCGACGCATATTTTTAGTATTGCCCCTGCTTAGCTCTGGCTCAGTATTTTCATGACTTAGCTACATTTCCAAAGGATGGTGAAGCCCAAAAGCCATTGCCTACATCAGCATATCGCGGTCATGACTCAAACTGCCTGTGTATTGTGTAAGAATGTGTATCGTGGATGTGTTAGGACCTCAAAAAATGATACTTGCTTTCAGAACTGATTGTACTGGGATGCCTGAGGAAACGTGTTCGTGCTTCTTTCCTGTTGTTTGACTGCATTCATACTGTGGACGCTGGACACTCACACACACACACACTGTGATCACACACGTACGACTTTGCCGTTTCAGGGTCTGAATCTGTCACCGCCGGTCTTATTGTTTCCTGTATTGTTTCTCTGAGCTTCCATAACTGTTGAGTGTTTGTAGTTTCAGCTGCCTTAGGAGGGACCAGGGCCCCAGGTGCCCCAAAACTGAGGCGGTCCCTAGGACAGAAGGGTTTTCTCAACCGCTGAGTTTGCACTTTGGGTGGGAGAATGAGGTTAGCGTCTAGCTGGCTGTGCATGTTTTCGATTTTGCGTAACTGACTTTTGGACTCCAGCGGGTGTTTACGAAGTCCCCGACCCCCACCTTCTCCAAAGCAGGTGCTTCAGTGACTGCGAGCCCCCGCTTCTTTTCTTTTTTCTTAGCTTTTATTTTAAGCCATCACCAGCCTGTAAGGTCCTACAATTCTTTAATAGTTAACACACAATGCTGTTTGATTTTTTTCCCCCTCCCTTCTTTTCTTTTGCTATGCTGTTGAAATAAAAAAGAAAATGTATATCCCGATCAGCATGGAAGTGGTGCCTTTTCAATGAGCAGCTGCTACCGTCGATACAGCCATGTTTCCATTCTGAAAGACCTTCGGCTTTTAAAAGAGGAAACGAGAGTTTAGGGCGTTATGATGGTTGAAAGGAGGACAAGCTGTGAACTGAAGTGAGCCTCGGCCCGTTTCCTTTCTGCTTTTGCGAGCATGACTCACTTGCTGTCAATAAATGATGAGATCTCTGGTTTCAGAGTAGTGATTGTCAGGTAAGCCGTGCCCTGCCAAAGGTCCCGGTCAGAGGATCACTCTGTCTGCTGAGGCGCTCCCACCACAGGACGTGCACCTTAAAACAACCCCAGAGGTCAAAAGTAAGAACTGGTACTGGGAATGAAAACGGTTCAGGAAGAAATGGTGCGTTTTGGTTGAAGATGTTTCTGTTGAAAAAGAAAAAAAATCCTGTTTTATATCTTGGTGTGTCACCACAGAGGCTAGGAGATGTCATCATGGGAGTTTTTTTTACCCTGGCATTTTGCCTTGAATAAGCAAGCTGCCCTGGGGTAAAGACCAGAGATCAGGCTACCAGTTCAAAGCCATTCTTTCATTCCTTTTTTTTTTTTCTAACTTTGGTTACCTGCTTACTGGATGTTTTGTGCATCATCTGAGCCTTTTGTCCACACAAAGAAGGGCTAAAGTTGCATGCGTAAGGTCAGTGTCTCCTTCTCACTTCTGAAGAGGAGGGTGTGAATCACACGGTGACATCAACGCATGAGGTCAGGACACACTTAACAGAAGAAGGTTGTTGTCATGGTGACTAACAGGAGCACAGAAAGGCTCAATCCTTACCAACCGGCCGGTCAGATCGTAACTTTGTGTTTAACTTTCCCAGCCTGCTTTTCTGGGCTCTGCAGCAAGGTGGACGGTGGCGCCATTCTCAAACAGCTTGCATTTTTAAGGCATTAGACTCGTTCTGAGTGTGTTACTGTAGAAATATTCGGGACACTCACAGTGAAGGAATTCCTGTCCGGGAATGCTTGTTTTCTATCTCCCCGTCTGCTCTGTTTGCTCGTGTGGTGTTTGCTCTGCCGCCGTGGACGTGAAGTTTGACCCTGCCGCAGACGGCTCCAGCCTGAAGGACAGGGACACGGCCGTTACACACAGATAGACACACAAATACGACAACCCCTTATCTCCCCTGAAACTGTTTTTTTTTTTTTCAAAAGAATTTCCCGCATTTTCAGAGCACGCTTCTCATGATGAAACAACTGCCGTTACACAGTGGAGGGACGGCCCTGGCCGTGTCAAGTAACATCTTGTTTGCTAATTATTTTCCATTCATGACTCATTATGAATGTGGGGGCTGTTTTCACTGGAATGCTTTCATGTTTTTCTCAGGGAGAACCCAGCAGGGCAAACGTGGCCGGGGATGGGGGGGAGCCGGTGCATGGTGCTGCACATGTCCGGGGCCTTTTGTGCAGCTGTCACCGCACACACGGGCCGGCCTCAAACGCTGTCAGCCTCACCTGTGGCCCTCACCGAAAGGACAAATGCTCGGCCTTTATGTTGTAGCTGGGAATCAGTTCGAATCAGAAATTTAGTCAGTTGCTGTGGCGCGGCTTGTCCTTCGGCCTTTACAGTCCGGCTTTATGCTCCTTCGCTTGAATGCAGTTTTCGCCCCAAACGCCACCATTGTCTGTTTCAGGGTGGGTGCTCGACTACGCCATTGTATGCCTATGAAGGGGCTGGTTTTAAACAATACTGCAAAACTGAGCTCAATAGTAGTTCCTCTGTCGCTTGTTTGCTCAGGCGTTCCTCTTTGATTTGACTCTCACTTCAGTTCTTCAATCAGCAAAGCAGGAAACCGTCCCACAGACAGTGTACACTACAATTCAGCAAAAAGGAAACCGACGTCGATACGTTTTACTCTGTTCAGTAACAAACAGAAAGTCCTAAAACTATTAGCTTGTTGAAATGCCCATCACTTACTGATTTACTTTGAGCATTACTCTGCTGGCCTAACTGCAGCAATGGCGTAAAACAGCCCTGAGTCTGGGGACGTTACTCTGAGCAGACACAATGCTTTTCTCACAACACGCTGTCTGCATCCTCCCACTGCTGTTTCCATAGAGCTGCACAAGTTAAAAGCATGGTATGCTCACCCTATTGAAAGAGTCAGAGGCCAAATGTACAGCTCAAAGTTTCCCTCCAAAGCTTTTTCTTGTCTTGTTTGCACAAAGCTGTATCATCTTTGGGTTAATTATTAATAATGCTGCATGCGTACATGCACAGCACACATCTTTGTGAAAAAGATCTTTCAACTCTCAATGTTTTATGTATCAGAGTTTTGTTTTGTTTTTTCAGGACATTTTATTTTAAAATCCTTTGGTCTGTGTTAGGTCTGAAAAATACTTACTACTTCATCAATAGTATCATATCTAGTCTTTGGAAGAAAACAAAACCAAAATTCCAAAGTAGTCTGCAATATGGAAAAGACAATTGGGTAATTTCCAAACTGTTTGGACTCTACTTCAACAGTGATGTTTTTTTAACATGTGGAAAACATTTAGTGGGGTTGTTGATTTTTCAAGGAGTTGATTTGAAAGTGAATTCCCCCCAAGGTCAGATTATACACAATGTGCTTAGATAAACTGTACAATCCCAACAGCAACATCACATATCAGACTCCACGGGCCTCACCATGTTCAAAGTTCATGACAATACAACTTGAAAAAGACAGGAATAGAATGTTGGGAGTGGCTGCCTGAAAAAGTTTTCATCTCTAATAAAAAAAATGAATAAATAAAAAGCAAGGCTTGACATTCACTCTGAACTTGCCCCAAAATTTCTGGAACAATGGCCTTTGGAAAGAAGACCAAAGTGGAGATTGCTGATCATCATGTGTGGTGCCATACCTGGTGAAACCCAAACGCTGCATGTCGAGCACTGTGGAGGAAAGTTGATGCTTTGGGCCTGTTTGCAAAACCTGAAAGTATTTTTTTTTAACACACCAGTTTGTAGACTATAAAGAAAAAAATTCAATTTGCCACTCAAAAAGCCTCACTGAAGTTCAGCTGTGAGTCAACCACCACTTCCTTTGAATGTTTTTTTTTTTTTTTGTAGTGCTGAAAAATGCTTGATTATCATAATACATATTACAACTTACAAACATCTTCTGCTCATGACCTGCAAATATGATTCCCGGAGGGATTAAAATTCTATTTTGAACCCGCTCCCCAGTCATTTTTTTAGCTTTCATGGTCCTCCATTTCGAGCGTAAGCTATAATTCCTCCTTTTTCTTTGAACAAACAGGGAAATTGAAAAAGAAACTCTTATACAGCCTTTTATTTCTTCTTAATTGACCACATTTTTTAATTCATCAAGAAAAAGGTTTGTGGCTGTTATCCTGCTGTTTGATTGAAAGACATTGCAGCATTTTCTGTCTGGTAAATTCCATTCCAAAGAAAAAGAAACAAGTTGTTTGGAGCAGTTTGATCTGCCAGAGCTCGGCTCAGAAACTTTCAGTGTTTTGGTTGTCATGGGTGCCTGCTTTAAAGCACCATTAAAGCGTTATGCAGAGTGACATTCGGCTGGCAGTTTTGCGCTCAGATTCTGTTGCTCGTTGGATTTCCCTCCGCCATGGACAATGTGCTAATAATTATAGGGAGCCTGAGGCCTGCGTGTGCATTTGGCAGAGAGGCTATGCAGTGGGAGGCGTGCGCTGCTGCAGTCCTCTATAGCGCCAGTGATTTCTGCTCTCAGATGTAATTAACAGAGACTGTGCAACAAGAATAATACATATTGATGTACTCTGGAAGGGTAATTTACACTGAACATTTATTCATGTTAAC